GCTTCAGCTTAGCAAACCATAGATTAAAACAAGATCAAATATGATTTTTTTGAATCAGAGTCTCACTCTATTGACCAGGCTGGAGTGTAGTGGTACCAGTGGTACCTTCTACCTCAGCCTCCAAGTAACTGGGACTACAGGCATGTGCCACCACGCCCTGATAATTTTTTGATTTTATTGTAAAGATGAGGTCTCACCATGTTGCCAGGCTGGTCTCAAACACCTGGCCTCAGGCAAACCTCTCATCTTGACTTCCCAAAGTGCTGGGATTACAGGTGTGAGCCACAGTGCCTGGGCAAGTATGAAATTTTGAAAGAAAACTGGTTAAGCGCTAAAACAGATTTTAAGTAGGTATTTGGATATGAGTTAGTAAAGCAGCCAAGAAAGACATGAACTCCAGTGAACTCTAGTCACTCCCCTGGACCACACCCACATACATAAACACACTTAACCAGTAGTTTATCAAGATTAGGTCCTGCACCGATAATTTGCCTGGAACCTTTGTATCATTTGAAGGATATTCACAGTAACACAGTATCTTAGGATCTGATGGTTTTTACAAAGTTACCCTTTATGGATAACAAACCATTGTAAGTGAATCTCCTGAGCTGATAAGTAGTTAAGGTATTTTTCTACTAATTCAAGCATGCTTAGAACATAATAAAAGACAAGAACTATTGTTCTCTTGCATTCGCACCACAATTTTATGTCAATTGATTCTACCTTTGTTTTTGAAACTTCAAATTTACTCAATTTCTGGAGAATTACCTTGTTTTCACCTTATTTTTAAAAGTTTTTATAGATCTGAAAATTTACAGTATGTCTATCTTTTTAAAATAATAACACATTAACCATGGGGAACTTAATCATGATCTTTAAAATGTTTATATGAAAGTTTTTTTATAATAATGACAAATATAGAAAATGTCTCCAATATTGAAATGAGAAAAAAATATTTATACATATGGCTTTGGAGTAAATCTTCAGGTTGTGATTAGATAAATTAATACATAATTACTCTAACTCTGTGATTTAATTTTGTCTGGTGGAGGAAGCAAGGTAGTTAATGTGCATTTCTTTCACAAAAGAAAAACCATCGTTAAAATATTTAAAGGAGAAAGCTGAGCAATTTCCCCAGTGACTTCTGCCAATGTAAATTAGTTTATTCATTCATCCTACAAATATTTGAGTGTCCACAAGCTGCTGAGCCCTGGGATCAGATGACAATCTGGTTTATTTTACTTATTCAGGCAAGTTAGCATTTCCAACTATGTATATATAATATTTGTATAAATACACACATATATATAATATATATATTAGCTGAGCACTCATTAATTTTTAAAAATAGACTTTATTTTACTTTATTTTATTGAGTTGAATTTCACTCTATCACCCAGGCTGGAGTGCAGTGGCACACTCACAGCCACTGCAACCTCAACCTGCTGAGCTCAGGTGACCCGTTCACCTCAGCTTTCCAAGTAGCTGGAAATACAGGCACGTGCTACCACACCCAGATACTTTTTTTATTTATTGTAGAGACGAGGTCTCACCATGTTGCCCAGCTGGTCTTGAACCAGTGGGCTCAGGCAATCCTCTTATCTCTGCCACCCAAAGTGCTGGGATTACAATTGTGAGTCACTGCACCCAGCAAAATAGACTTTATCCTTTTGTGTATTTTTAGGTACATGTCAACACTGAGCAGAAGGCACAGAGAGTCCCCATATATCCTCTGCACACCTTCCTCCTCCACTATCAACATTCTGCACCAAAGTGGTTTTTCTTTTTTTTTTTTTTTTTTGAGTTGGAGTCCTACATTGACACACCATTATTACCTAGAGTCTGTAGTTTACATTAGGGCACATTCTTGGTGTTGTACATTCTATGGGTTCTGACAAATATATAATAACATGTATCCACATTATAGGATTAGAGAGAATAGTTCACGGCCCTAAGAATCGCCTGTCATCTGTCCATCTGTCCCTCCCTTTCCTCTATTCCCTGACAATCATTGATCGCTTTACTATCTCCTTGCTTTTGCTTTTTCTAAAGTTATTGCTTTAAAAACAGTTTAGGTAAGCCTAATTTAACCAGGGTCAAGTATAACATAACTGGCCTTTAATCTACTGATTATACCCAAGTCTAATAATTTTGTTAACCCTTAAGAATATCTACTTTTATCTTTCTCTGGCCTCGTTTTCTGTGTTATTGATCATACTACATAAAATTCTTTGTTGTAAGGTTACAGAAAATATTTTGGAAAAATGCGGAATATAACAAAATGCTTAAACTGTGCAATTGATATAGTTTGTCAAGTTTAAGAGGGTATTACAAGGGAAACTATTATTTTATATTTTACTAAGGAAAAATTAATTGTAAGATGACATTGACTATCAGATACATTCTCATTTCAGAAATATTAAAAAGTGTTGGTCAGGTGCAGTGGCTCACACCTGTAACCACAGAACTTTAGGTGGCCAAGGCAGGAGGATCTCTTGAACCCAGGAGCTTGAGACCTGGCAACACAGAGAGTCTGTCTCTACCAAAAATAGAAAAATGAACCAGCTGTGGTGGTACGCACCTGTAGTCCCAGCTACGCAGGAGACTGACAAGGGAGAGTAGTAACTTGGGTCCAGGAGGTCGAGGCTGCAGTGAGCTGGGATCATGCCATTGCACTCTAGCCTGGGTTACACAGTGAGACCCTGTCTCAAAAAATAAACAAACCAACAAATAAATAATAAAAATAATTTATGTTAAAGGGTTTTTTTAATGTGTGCCTTAAAATTGATTAACTACAATAGTGACATTTGAAAATTTGTTTGTAATGCAATTTTCATGTTAGGATTCTACCCTGCTATTTTTAGCAACCAGTAACTCTCCAATAATGGGAATTTATTTTCTCAGCACTGTTTTTTCCCACTGACTTTACAGGGGTAGAGCAAAGGATAAGGATCCAGGATTGGTTCTCAATACAGATGATTAAACTCTTTTTACAGTTTGTGGTTTAATTGTAGACTGGGGTAGATCATTCAATCACTATTAACTACAGAAAATAGTAATACCAGGATAAACAACTTCTTTTCAAAATTGAATTCAATTCTGAAATCTCTCAAGGGAGGTCATAGATTATTTAAAAGGAAATCACTTGCAATAATAAACATTGTTTAAGCACAAAACAACCGAGAAACAATATAAACTCATCTAGGCTAAAGAAACAAACAGAAATATTTAGTACAAAGGTTTAAAATTAGGATAAATACTGAGTTACCTGACTATCCAAAGTGGCACTTCTTTCCATTTTAGAGCAGTACTGCCCACATGTGTAATTAACATTTTTTAGTAGCTAGCCAAATTTGAAGTTTGTTTTCTTTTGTTTGAGTTAGGATCTCACTCTGTCGCCCAGGTTGCAGTGCAGTGGCACTATCACGGCTCATCACAGCTTCGACCTCCAGAGCTCAGGTGATCCTTCCGCTTAGTTGCCTGAATAGTTGGGACAGCAGGCGTGCGACTAATTTTTTACTTTTAATTTTTTTTTTTTTTTTTTTTTTTGTAGAGACGAGATTTCGCTATGTCGCCCAGGCTGGTCTCAAACTCCTGGGCTCAAGTCATCCTCCCACCTCAGTCTCCCAAAGTGCTGGGATAACAGGTGTGAGCCACTGGGCCCACCCTACATTTTTTTTAAGTGAAATTAACTTAACAATTTATTTAATTTTATTCAAAATATTATCTTTTCAACATGTAATCCATATACTTTTTTTTTTTAAGTTGTAGTCTCACTCTGTCGCCCAGGCTGGAGTGCGGTGGCACCCTCCTGGCCACCGCAGCTTCGACCTGCTAGGCTGAGACGATCCTTGCACCTCAATCTTCCAAGTAGCCGGAACTACAGACACGCACCACCACGCCCGACTAATTTTTTGGTTTATTGTAGAGACGAGGTCTCACCAAGTTGCCCAAGCTGGTCTTGAACCCCTTGGGCTCAGGCAATCCTCTCGCCTCCACCTCCTAAAGTGCTAGGATTACAGGCAATTTATTAATGAGACAGTTTTGCACATCTGGTGTATTGTTTACACTCACAACACAACTCAACTCCAACGAGCTGCGAGCTACATTTCAAGCTCTCACGCAGCCACATGTGCCGACCGTATTGGACAGCACAGGCTAGGGGATTTCATTATTGATTAGTTCTTCACGGTCTTAAGATAAGGATTATTGATTAGTTCTTCACGGTCTTAAGATAAGGATTCCTTTGATGATACACATGGCCTCTAAGGTGCTCGCTTAGAGATCTGTACGGTACAGGAGATCATTTTACTCTCGGGTCCGTTTTGATCCAAGATTCACAGCATTAAAAGCAGTGATGCAGGGATGGGGAACCCTTGGGCCCAGGAGCGTGGCTCGGAGCAGGGCCTGGCCGCTCCGAGCAGTGCCCAGCGGGGAGGATGGATCTCCAGACAAGCCCGAGCAGCTGCGCGGAACCCCGTGTCTTTTTCTGGGGCGCCCTGGAAAAGCAGAGCCTGACAGAGGGAGAGCGGCCTCGGAGCCGGACGTGAGGTCCCGAGCCGCCACCGGGGAAGCCCGGCCAGAGTTGCAAGGCTGCAAGGCTGCAAGGCTGCCGGCCCCGGGCTGGGTGGGCGGCGAGCGAGAGAGGAGCCCGAGGAAAGCCCGACCCGCCTCCCGCCGGAGAAGCCGCCCCGAGGCGCGCTCCCGCCGGCGACGCGGCGGGCGCGCGGGCGGCGGGGTGGGCGTGGAGCAGCGGGCTCTCC